AGCCCCAGGGATGGCGAGGTCTAATTTGCGCCCGTGCCGGACCCCCCAGCAGGCCTCGAAAGTGGCGACAGTTTCACAGATCGCAGCCCCCCAGGGATGGCGAGGTCTAATTGAATCCGCCGTGGGTCACTGTGCTGGGCCCCCCAGCAGGCCTCGAAAGTGGCGACAGTTTCACAGATCGCAGCCCCCCAGGGATGGCGAGGTCTAATTTGAATCTGCGTGTGGCGTCACTGTGCTGGGCCCCCCAGCAGGCCTCGAAAGTGGCGACAGTTTCACAGATCGCAGCCCCCCAGGGATGGCGAGGTCTAATTTGGGTCCGCCCGTGGCGTCACTGTGCTGGGCCCCCCAGCAGGCCTCGAAAGTGGCGACAGTTTCACAGATCGCAGCCCCCCAGGGATGGCGAGGTCTAATTTGGGTCCGCGCGTGGCGTCACTGTGCTGGGCCCCCCAGCAGGCCTCGAAAGTGGCGACAGATTCACAGATCGCAGCCCCCAGGGATGGCGAGGTCTAATTTGAATCTGCGCGTGGCGTCACTGTGCTGGGCCCCCCAGCAGGCCTCGAAAGTGGCGACAGTTTCACAGATCGCAGCCTCCAGGGGATGGCGAGGTCTAATTTGGGTCTGCCCGTGGCGTCACTGCGCTGGGCCCCCCAGCAGGCCTCGAAAGTGGCGACAGTTTCACAGATCGCAGCCCCCAGGGATGGCGAGGTCTCGTTTGAATATGCCCGTGGCGTAACTGTGCAGGGCCCCCCAGCAGGCCTCGAAAGTGGCGACAGTTTCACAGATCGCAGCCCCCCCAGGGATGGCGAGGTCTAATTTGAATCCGCGCGTGGCCTCACTGTGCTGGGCCCCCCAGCAGGCCTCGAAAGTGGCGACAGTTTCACAGATCGCAGCCCCCCAGGGATGGCGAGGTCTAATTTGGAATCTGCCCGTGGCGTCACTGTGCTGGGCCCCCCAGCAGGCCTCGAAAGTGGCGACAGTTTCACAGATCGCAGCCCCCCAGGGATGGCGAGGTCTAATTTGAATCTGCCGTGGCCCTCACTGTGCTGGGCCCCCCAGCAGGCCTCGAAAATGGCGACAGTTTCACAGATCGCAGCCCCCCAGGGATGGCGAGGTCTCATTTGAATCTGCCCGTGGCCCTCACTGTGCTGGGCCCCCCAGCAGGCCTCGAAAATGGCGACAGTTTCACAGATCGCAGCCCCCCCAGGGATGGCGAGGTCTCAATTTGAATCTGCCCGTGGCCCTCACTGTGCTGGGCCCCCCAGCAGGCCTCGAAAATGGCGACAGTTTCACAGATCGCAGCCCCCCAGGGATGGCGAGGTCTAATTTGAATCCGCGCGTGCCCTCACTGTGCTGGGCCCCCCAGCAGGCCTCGAAAATGGCGACAGTTTCACAGATCGCAGCCCCCCAGGGATGGCGAGGTCTAATTTGAATCTGCGCGTGGCGTCACTGTGCTGGGCCCCCCAGCAGGCCTCGAAAGTGGCGACAGTTTCACAGATCGCAGCCCCCCAGGGATGGCGAGGTCTAATTTGAATCCGCGCGTGGCCCTCACTGTGCTGGGCCCCCCAGCAGGCCTCGAAAATGGCGACAGTTTCACAGATCGCAGCCCCCCCAGGGATGGCGAGGTCTAATTTGAATCTGCGCGTGGCCCTCACTGTGCTGAGCCCCCCAGCAGGCCTCGAAAATGGCGACAGTTTCACAGATCGCAGCCCCCCCAGGGATGGCGAGGTCTCATTTGAATCTGCGCGTCGCCCTCACTGTGCTGGGCCCCCCAGCAGGCCTCGAAAATGGCGACAGTTTCACAGATCGCAGCCCCCCAGGGATGGAGAGGTCTCATTTGAATCTGCCCGTGGCGTCACTGTGCTGGGCCCCCCAGCAGGCCTCGAAAATGGCGACAGTTTCACAGATCGCAGACCCCCGCAGGCAAGACAGGAAGAGGCAGGGAGGGAGGAGGAGGAGGAAGGAAGGAGTGGAGACCACACTGCTCTATTCGAAACGAATACCCAACCAAGGAGGGTTGGGAAAAACACAGCCATAAAAAAACACCAAAAACGAAAACAACAATAAGAACAGTTACAAAAAACGGCAATCAAAACAGCAATAAAAAACAGCAGTGGAGAAGTTGGAGGAAGGACGAAAAAAAAAGAAGTTGGAGGAAGGACAAAAAAAGAAGCAGTAAGCAAAAACGGCCCGTTGTCGAGAGCGGCTGAGGCCCGAGCCCGCGGGCCGCTCCGCCGCCCGCGCGCGAGTGGCGCGGCCCGGAGCGATCGCGCCTTCCCGAGGGGCGCAGGGCCGCTCGATGTCGACGAGGGCCTGGGCTTCGGTCGGGTTTCGGTCCACCTTCGGGCTACGGGCGGATTCTGGACGACAAGCAAAAGATAGCCGAAACATATTCGAGCACGGTCGAAGAAGAGTCGAAACGCCGTCCCCAGACGATTCTTCATCATTTTTGAATTTTCCTCCTGCGGAGGGACAGGCCCGACTTTGCAGCCCAGGCAACTGGGCGACGAAAAGCGAGCGGGCCTCACGCGAGATGGCGTGGCGACCTCACGCGGCGGCTCAACTAGGGGGCCACATGCGAACCCTACCCTCCCCCTCAGAAATCGTGGGGGGTAGGGGTAGGGTTCGCATGTGCCCCCCTATTAACGCGGGCCGCCAGTCCGGCACCCTGCACGGAAGGCCGAGGGCGCGCTCGCGCGACCGTACGCGGGGGCAGCCTGCGCGCCGACGTCGGCGCAGACGAACCCGCTTGTCGAACCTACCGCTAACATTAGAGGGGCCCCAGGACACACAAATAAATGTGTGGGGCAGGCGGGGGGTGAGCGATAGCTCATCGAATTAAGGAGAAATGTCTTTCCCTCTTCAATCGGCCAAAGCTGTTGACAGAGCTTAAACTCCCATGGGCACTATATTTATATTTACAGAGGCCTCTGCACGGAGCTCGAAAGGTATACTCTCTTTTGCACGGACCGACCCCCCACGCCAGAGCACAGACCGCACCCCGAGGCCAGAGCTGGATTCGCAGACCACCATCCGCAGACGGGGGTCGGCCACTATCACGGGAGACTGGGGCCAGAACGCTCCACGGCCTCAGGGGCCAGGGGAGGCTCGACGGCCTTGGGGGGGCCCAGCAAAGAGAACCCCCTGAGAGTCCAGCAGGACCGTGCCCAAGAAGCTCGAGCTCTCGCGAGACTCAATGCATTCGCCACTTAGGGCGGTATGTGGGTGGGCCAGAACAGCTGCCATGCAAGCGAATGCGGCCGATGTGACACGCAACCCCCCTGACGCCCACACATCTACCGTAAACGTATACATGTGTGGGGCAGGCGGGGGGTGAGCGATAGCTCATCGAATTAAGGAGAAATGTCTTTCCCTCTTCAATCGGCCAAAGCTGTTGACAGAGCTTAAACTCCCATGGGCACTATATTTATATTTACAGAGGCCTCTGCACGGAGCTCGAAAGGTCTACTCTCTTTTGCACGGACCGACCCCCCACGCCAGAGCACAGACCGCACCCCGAGGCCAGAGCTGGATTCGCAGACCACCATCCGCAGACGGGGGTCGGCCACTATCACGGGAGACTGGGGCCAGAACGCTCCACGGCCTCGGGGGCCAGGGGAGGCTCGACGGCCTTGGGGGGGCCCAGCAAAGAGAACCCCCTGAGAGTCCAGCAGGACCGTGCCCAAGAAGCTCGAGCTCTCGCGAGACTCAATGCATTCGCCACTTACGGCGGTATGTGGGTGGGCCAGAACAGCTGCCATGCAAGCGAATGCGGCCGATGTGACACGCAACCCCCCTGACGCCCACACATCTACCGTAAACGTATACATGTGTGGGGCAGGCGGGGGGTGAGCGATAGCTCATCGAATTAAGGAGAAATGTCGTTCCCTCTTCAATCGGCCAAAGCTGTTGACAGAGCTTAAACTCCCATGGGCACTATATTTATATTTACAGAGGCCTCTGCACGGAGCTCGAAAGGTATACTCTCTTTTGCACGGACCGACCCCCCACGCCAGAGCACAGACCGCACCCCGAGGCCAGAGCTGGATTCGCAGACCACCATCCGCAGACTGGGGTCGGCCACCATCACGGGAGACTGGGGCCAGAACGCTCCACGGCCTCGGGGGCCAGGGGAGGCTCGACGGCCTTGGGGGGGCCCAGCAAAGAGAACCCCCTGAGAGTCCAGCAGGACCGTGCCCAAGAAGCTCGAGCTCTCGCGAGACTCAATGCATTCGCCACTTAGGGCGGTATGTGGGTGGGCCAGAACAGCTGCCATGCAAGCGAATGCGGCCGATGTGACACGCAACCCCCCTGACGCCCACACATCTACCGTAAACGTATACATGTGTGGGGCAGGCGGGGGGTGAGCGATAGCTCATCGAATTAAGGAGAAATGTCTTTCCCTCTTCAATCGGCCAAAGCTGTTGACAGAGCTTAAACTCCCATGGGCACTATATTGAGGGCACGGAGCTCGAAAGGTCTCTCTTTTGCACGGACCGACCCCCCACGCCAGAGCACAGACCGCACCCCGAGGCCAGAGCTGGATTCGCAGACCACCATCCGCAGACTGGGGTCGGCCACCATCACGGGAGACTGGGGCCAGAACGCTCCACGGCCTCGGGGGCCAGGGGAGGCTCGACGGCCTCGGGGGGGCCCAGCAAAGAGAACCCCCTGAGAGCCCAGCAGGACCGTGCCCAAGAAGCTCGCCAACTCTCGGAAAAGACGCCAAGCTCTCCATTCTGTGTTTTTCCTCTGGCCGTAGGCCGAAGATATGTCAAGCCTGGCGACGGCAGCACGGGCAGCAGCTCGCACCAGACATCAAAAATTATTGCAGCAGGTCACGGGCTGCAATACGCTCGGACTCGAGCGGAAAGTGCATTAGAGAACTGCTGGAGCGTCGAACGGGTACGATCCTGGAGCTTCATCTCTGCGACGATGGCAGCCCCGTCTTGGATGTATATATTTGCCGTTCTTGCCGAGCTCCAGCGCCCACACAACATGACCTTAGACAAGTCGCCCGACAGCGGGAACTCATGCGTGGCACCTCCGCGCCTCAGGCTGCAAGGAGACAGGGCGAGGTGCCTGCAACCGATCTGCTGGAGCCCAGCACGGAACACGTCGTGAAAGGCGCGCGTCGTGCCAGGCCAGAGCCGGCTGTCACGCTGGAGCTGCATATGGACGACTGCCCCAACCAGCGGGTCGTCAAGCGTGACTTGCTCCCGCGCGCCCTTCTGGCAAGAGGTCTTGGTCCAGGGCAACGACACCACGCCTCGGCCACAGGGCTTCAGAAAGATGACGCCGCCGCTCAGCCCCAAAACCTCGCCAGCGCGGAGACAGAGATGGAAGGCCACGAGCAGCACGGCCGCGAAGGCCACCTCTCCGCGGCTGAGCGCCCAACCGGCGAGCGCCGTGCACACCTGGGCAGGCATCGGCGGCGCGCGCTGAGGGATCTCCAGTCTGCCCCAGACTGTCAGCAGCTGCCAAGCGCCAGGATAGCGGCGTCGTGTCCTCAGCAGGTGCTGCACGCCGCTGAGGGTGTCATTGGCTTCTCCTTTTGTGGCGCCCTCGGCCCACAAGTGCTCGAGATAATCTTGCAGGCAGATATCAATATCGTCCCAGGTGAAAGGCAGCGACAGGTTATTGGAAGCAAGGTAGTCAACAAAACGCTGAGCGGCGCCACGGTAGCGGGCCAGTGTCGAGGCCTTTATCCTGGCGTCTCTCAGCTTCCCCAGTCCAGCTCTGGCGGCGCGGCGGTCAGCAGGGCTACTCCGCTTCTTACCCATCGCGGAGACGCGAGGGGGCGTCCGCGGGGTTGCGAGCCGACGACGTGAAGCCGAAGACCGCCCGCGCGCCCATCGCAAGCTCCCACGCCGAGAAGGTCCGCACCACCTTGTTGAGCTGAGGACTGCTGGAACGGTGCTTGGACAGCGCACCGATGTTGACCATGCTGTCGAGCAGGTGCAGGAAGACGCACTGATGGCGGCGCACCGACCGCGCCCGCCATCGAATCATCATCAGCGCGCCCTGGCACTCAAGAACGTTGATGTGCTCTGCGGCATCCCACACTAGCTGCCTTGCCTTGCGCCACCGCCAAAAGCCTGAGTCGATCTCCTGCCGCGGGAAGATCTTGCCGAGCGCCTCCGAGGCGCCATCGGTCCTGATGTCTGCTCCGTTGTTGTGGCACGCCATGACGAGCCCCATGACGATGCGTCTGGACGCGTCCACCTCGCGCCACTCCACCACGTCACGCTTCGCCAACTCCGCCAAGAGGATGTCGGCATGGCACGCCTGGTCGGGCCCACAGTGACAGACCAGTAGGGCCCCGCGCAGCGTCTCCAAGCTCTGCAGGAAGGTGGGCTGCGTGCGGATCCAACCAGCGAACAGGGCAACAGCGTCCTCGCGTGACCGCTCGGGGCAGATCGTGAAAGGGTTGCCCCACCGCGAGGCAGCCAGCCCCCAGCGGCGAGACCCACGGCCCACGTAGATGGGCCCGCCAGCCTGGTCCAGCTTGGCGCGCAGGCCCTCGTCGATCTCGGAGCGACCGCACCGCAGCGACGTCACGTCGCCGGCCCACAGCTTCCTGCCACCAGCCCAGGCTCGCGCACTCTCATGCAGCTCACCCAGCGAGGGCACCGAGACCAGCAGCCCAGCTCCGACGGCCCTGTGGCTGATGATCCAGGCCACGACCTCGCACTGGAAGGTGTTGCCCACGAGCGACCGCCGAAGAGCCTCGTACTTGGCGGGCTCGGCCTTCGCCTGGCTGCTCGTCATGCACGGCACGGTGTGGCCCTCCGGGAAGCCCATCAGCTTCTCTCGTATGGTCGCGTCAGGCGGCTCCACGCGGCCATCCGCCTGGTGGATGCACCACTTGTCACGGAACTGGTAGGGCGGCGAAGCGAAGCCCGCCGCCTCCCAGCGCGCCAGCTCAGCAGCGCTGCACTCCCCGATGCCCGCAGGCCTGGGGCGCGGCTGCGAGCGCGGCGCCCAGCGCACGAAGGTCGGGAGCGGCTCCCCTGCAGCGGGACCCGGACACACAGCCCCGGGCGGGAGCCACTCCTCGAGCGGCGGCCGCTCCGCCTTCAGCGCCACCTTGCAGGCGCGCCGAACGCCCTGGGTCTTGGCCCGCACCACGACGGGCTCAGCCTCGAAGGACGGCAGGAGGTCCCACGAAGCCCAGTAGAGCCGCGGACGTCTGACCCAGCCGACATCCCCCGCCTCAATCTCCAGCGGGATGCGGCCGAAGAGCTGGTTCAGGCGCAGCACGTCGCACTCGGGCATCGACGCGACGTTCTCCCCGAGGAAGTCGATCGACGCCTCCGGCATGGCCGTCCGCAGCCCGTCCACGATTCGCACCATGTGGTCAAGCAGGCCCGCGCGCGGGTCGTCGAGACCCTGCCGAGCAACGTTGAGGCCTGCGAAGACCTGGCACGGGAAGCCGCCCACCACCAGCACACGCGACACCCGCCTCGGGCGCGCAGCAGGGCTGCCAGGGCCGCCGGGTCCGCCTCCGTCACGTCCCCCAGGTGCTGCGTGCTGGGGTAGCTGCGCCGGGCCACCCGCACCGCCGTGGGGTCAACCTCGAATGACAGGTGCACGGCAGGGACCAGTCCGAGGATCTCGAAAGCCCGGCGCCCGCCGCCGATGCCGTCGAAGACAGTCACGAGGGCGGTCTCCTCCTCGCAGGCGGCGTTCGCGGGCCGCTGCCGCCTCTCGGCCAGCGCGCGCCCGCGGTCGGAGAGGGCGTAGCCGTAGACCACGGCGCCAGCGGCCTCCGAGGCATCCGACGCGGTCACCAGGGGGTCGACTTCGAGGCGCAGGTCAGCGACGCAAAGCCCTGACAGCGCAAGGCACATCAAGAGGTCCTCGACCACGCTCACGCTGAAGCGGCCGCCAGCGCGCGGGTTCCCGAGCCACTTCCAGGTGTAGGCAAAGCTGGCCGCCAGTGGCCGCCGAAAGCAGTGAACACGAACCCAGCGGCCCAGCAGAATGCGCACCAGCCGCATGCTGGCCCGCTTCTTGCTCAGCGTCCACAGCGTGAGGCTGGCCATCTCGGTAAGGTAACCCGCAGGGGGCCGCCGAACGCCCTCGACCCCGTCGATGAGCTCCCAAGGTCGTCGCTCGCGGCACTCGATGGACGTCCTTGGCCGGCGACCCCGGGGAGCCCGCAGCCGCATAGCAGGCGCGAGCCTCGGAGATGAGCTCGGGCACCGTCCCTCGCAGCGTCGTGGCCTCGGACTTGCTCACGACCTCCGCGACCTCCAGGTTGTCAATGTAGACCATCCACGCCGGAGGGCACGGCTTCTCCACGCTGAACGGCAGCCGTCGGCGCCGAGTAATCTCCTGGCTGGGCGGCAGGCCGCGAGGGAAAGAGGCGCTCCGCCGCAGCATGTTCCGGTGGAGGTGGGTCGTCACGCCCACGGCACTGATCCAGCCCATGCCGATCACCCGCAGGCAGATGTGCGTGGCCCCACCGTCCTTCAGGCCAAGCAACTCCGAGGGGACGGGCGGCCCTATCACCATGTAAGGCCACCACACAGGCGGCGCGCGGAAGACGTAGAAGAAGGCCTTTCTGTCCGCGCCGCTCCACAGGAGATCCTCCGACTCGGTCAGCACCAGGCCGTTCAGCTGGCTCATGGTCGGCATCTCAGGGGTGTCTCCCACGATGCACTCCTGGCACGCGTTCGAGGGGATGAGGTTGGTGATCAGCCTCAGGACCGGCCTGCGCTCGCCGTCGCTGCAGACCACGGGCTCGTCGCGGGGCTTGGGCACCCCGAACGCCCCATTCAGGAGCGGGGCTCCGTCGCGACAGGCAATCTCGCTGCTCGGGATCGCCGACACCACCCCGCGCTCGTGGAGCGCCCGCACAATCCGATGCCACTCCTCGAGCGAGGCCCACACGCGCGCAGATGTCGGCGCGCGCCGCCGCAGGGCAGCGGGCAGCAGCACCAGCGTCGGGTCCAGGAGGGCCTCACGCACGAACCCCGTCGCGAGGTCGGCCGCCTCGATGGAGGCCGCGACGCCCGGCGGAGGCAGCCCGTCCAGCACCTGCTCCAGCGTCAGCCGATGCGTGGCCGAGATCTCGTCCCCGCCGCAGCCGATCTTGCGGTCCTTCAGCCGCACGTTCCAGTCAAGATCTGGCGGCAAAGCAGACTCGGCCCGCGTAGCCAAGAGGAGGCGGCGGCCGAGAGCGACCAGGGCTGCCTGCTGCGCGGCGTTGGCTCGACCTCGGCAGGGCCTGGCTAGCTTCAGGGAGCGGAACTAGACTCCCAGTTTAGCGCCAGGACAGTGACCACCAGCCTGCAGCGTAGTCCTTCCCACTCCTTGTCGCTCAAAGGGTCCTCGCCCTGCTGGGCGATCTGGGACCTGGTGATCGAAGGGTATGGTAACGGCAACAGATCTCGCTGAAGCCGACCTGCCATGTCGGCCGGATGCTCGCGTGGCTTCACCTCGAGGGAATATCTAGTGAAGCGACCGAAGGAGCCTGGGAACTGGCGGACTATGTTCAACAACACGGGGCCCACGTCGAAAGGTTCTCGCAGAAGATCACTCGCCGCGCCAGCCCACTCGCGCCACTCTGCCAGCGGATCACCGTCACAGTCGGCATCCGTACCACATGCCGGCTGGCACGACGAGGACGCTGGGCGGCGAGAGGCGGCAGCACCACCACGGTCAGGAGCCAGTCTCGGAGGCGGCGAGGGCGACGGTGAAGTCCAGGGCGGTCTGCGCGAGCGGGCAACCACACCAAACTCGGTCGCACTCGCACGCGCATCATCAGCGCTGGCACCATCAGCTCGCTGCCTCACCTCAGCGTCGCAGGAAGGCCGCCTCGGCCTCGGCCCCGGTGCTTCCTGCCGCCACGGCGGCGGCCGCTCGGGGGGGCCGGGCCTCGCGGCGGACCTTGCTGCAGGCCCGCTGCCGCCGCAGCCGCGGGCTGGTCCTGCCTGAAGACGTGGCGCCCCGGGCTCGTCGCCAGCGAGACACGCCTCGGCCCGTCCGCCGCCCGCGGGCGCGGGCTGTCGCCTCGAGGCGTCCTCAGCGCCCCCGGAGACGGCGACCTGCCCGCGCTGCCTGAGCGCGCTGCGCCTGGCGGACCCGCGGGCGGGGCTGCGGCTGCGGGCCCTGCCCAAGGCCGTGCTGGGCCCCCCGCCCGCAGGGGGAAGAAGCGGCCTCGGCCGCGCCCGCGGCTCTTCCCGCGACCGCGGCCCTGCTGGCGGCTCGGCGAGGGCGAGTGGGCTCCGCCGCTCCCGCGCCTCGCCTCCTCGGGTCAGGCTCGGCGCTCGCCCTGACCCTTGCCGCCGAGGGCGCCGCGGCTCTTCGCGTCCATCAGCCTCCTGCGCAGCAGTGCCGCCCGCCGCGCCAGGTCCTGCTCGCCCATCGAGGCCAGCGAGGGCGGCGCGTCCGGCACGATCTCCAGCTCGCTCGCCACCTGCCAGCTCGCGTCGGACAGCGACAGCTCCAGGGCCTTGAAGCGCTGCATCAACACGTCGCTCAAATCCGCCAGGCACCCACACTCCAGGAGGTCCAGCGCGGTCGCCAGCGTCTGCAGCTCCCGCTGAGTGTTGATCCGCATCTGCCCTGGAGGGTGATGGCCGAACACCACGGCCTGCAGGTAGCCCACGACCTTCGCTCGAACCTCTGAGCCGTCCGCCCCCTCCCGCAGGCCCATGACGCGCCCGATGTTCTTCATCGCCTCGTCGTACAGGGCACCTGGGCGCTTCTCCGCCAGCAGCCGTACGCTGCCGCCGCGGGAGGGGGCCTCGCGAAAACGCGACTCACCGTCGTCGTCGCTGCGAGAGGCCGAGGAGCTCCGGGGGCGGCGGCGGCCGCGACCGCCACCAGCGCGGCCAGGCGTCGCCGTAGCGGCCTGCGCGCGCGCCGCGGCAGCTGCCGCCAGGCGGTCGGGGGCCGCGCCCCCGGCTGGGGCGCCCCCCGCCAAGGCACCGCCACCGCCGCGCCCACCGAAGGCGCTCGGCCGCACCCACGGCTCCACGAACCCGCGGTTCGAGCGCAGCCGCAGCCACTCGACATGCAGGACTCCTCGGCCTGGCACAGCGGGCTCCCCGCACAGCGCCGGTCCCTGCCCGCGCAAGTGCAGGAGGCCCGCAGGCCCGGTGCCGCGCGGTGGGAACAGGCCGTCCAGCCGCATCGCCTCGGCCGCCAGCGACGCCCCCCTGAACTGGGCGCTCAGGTACTGCCCTGAGGGGCCCGTGGTGCCGATCTCCTCTACCTCGAAGAGGGCCGTCCCGCTGATGCCTCCAGCTGCGTCGAAGGTCGAGAGCTCGAGATTCACCCCTCGGCGCCAGTCGGCGCCAATCAGAATCACGGCCTGACGCCACGGACCGTCCACGAGTGGTCCCAGCTGCGCGCCGCCCGCTGGGGCGATGGGACCGCCAGCCACCGCGATCGGCACACCAGGGATCGCCGGGGCCCCCGGCACCGCACCAGGAGGAGGGCCTCCAGGAGGGCCGCCGCCGCCGCCCGCGAGCGCGCCCACCAGCGCGGCGCCCACGCCGCCGGGGGGAGCACCTCCGCCGTCAGGCACGGCGCCGCCCGCCGGGGGCGCCCCAGCAGCCCCGCCGCCTCCGAAGCCTGGCAGGCCGGGCAGCGCCGCCAGGCCAGGCACCACGGGCGCGCCGGCACCGCCGCCCGCGGGCGCGGCCGCCGCGGCGCGGCCGACCGCCGCGGCCGCCGCCAGGCCCGGGGCAACAGGCGGGAAGGCGGCGGCACCTCCGCCTCTCCCCGCGGCTCCTCGCCCGAGGCCGCCGGCACCGCGCCCTCGGCCGCGGGCGCGTCCTCGGCCCAAGGCTGGCGACGGCCTTCGCCTTCGGCGCCATCGAGCCCCAGGCCGGCGAGAGCGGAGAGCAGCGCGCCCAGGAGCCGGGCGGAGTCGAGCAGCGCCGCCCTCTCCTCCACGCTGAGGCGGGCGCGCCACGCCGCCTGCCGAATCAGACCGATGATGTAGCACAGCTCGCAGACCTCCAGGAGGGACCCGCCCTCGGCCAGGGCCAGCGACTCCCCTCGCCCGAGGGGTCCCGCGCACCACCCGCAGTATCGCACGGGCGAAGGGCGCGGCACGGTGGTCCAGGGGGCGTCCATGCCCTCCCTGGAGGGCGCAGAACCAGCCAGAACAGCTGCCATGCAAGCGAATGCGGCCGATGTGACACGCAACCCCCCTGACGCCCACACATCTACCGTAAACGTATACATACACACAAATAAAAAGATTCCCCATATTTTCCTATATGTTTTGTGTTTTTGTCTTCCCACCCACTTCCCATATTTTCCCATATTTTCCTGGGGATCGTCGATTAATTGTGTCTGTGTTTTTTCCCCTCCTGAAACATTGTGGATGCCACGACAGTGGACACCCTAACAGTCCTATCATTGAATTTAAACTGTGTTTAAAATGTCGGGCAAATGTTCCAAACATGTTTTAAACATGTTTTACATGTTTAAAGCATGTTTCAACACATGCTTTTAAACATCTGGACATTACTTGGCAGCATGCTTCCTCTCCATGAATGGACTTCCACAACGCTAACGCTCTGGAGCCAGGCCAACTCGGCATGAAGGAGACGGGTCCGGGAGGAGAGGAGAGGCGGCGGGCGAGGAGGAGAAGTGAAGAGGAGAAGGCCCTCTCAGAGGGCGGCGGGGCTTCTGAGAAGCCCGCTGGCCTTCTGAGAGGCTCTCTGCGTCTCTCGGGGAAGGCTCGGGAGACTTCTCCGAAGGCCGGGCGACTTCAAAACCTTCTCCGAAGGCCTTCTCCTCCTCACTTCCCCCGCTTGCTCGCCGCCGAGAGGGGCCTTGGACATGCTGCATGCTCATTCTGGGGACCTTCCTGGAGCCACTCGCTCCACTCGTGCGTCGAAGCTGCGTCGAAGCTGCGTCGAACCTGAGTCGAACCTGCGTCGAACCTGAGTCGGACCTACGTCGAAGCTGCGTCGAATCTGAGTCGAACCTCAGTCGAACTTGAGTCGAGCCTGAGTCGAGCAGATCCGTTGGGTGGGCCCCAGGAAGGTCCCCCAAAACGAGCATGAAGACATGTTTCCCCCATGTGGGGGGGGCCCCTCCTCCTTCTCAGAAGGCCTCCTCCTCCTCACTCGGAAGGCCTCCTCGTTCGTACATTGGCCGTTTCCGGTCTTTCGGTTTTCGTCCAAACCTTCTCAGAAGGCCTCCTCCTCCTCCTCACTTCCCCCGCCTGCTCGCCGCCGAGAGGGGCCTTGGACATGCTTCCCCCCCTGTGGGGGGGGCCCCCGCGCCCCTCCACGAGCCCCCGGGGCCACCCCCCCCCGGCCGAAGGCGCGCGGCGAGCGCGCAAAGGGCGGCGCCGCGTGGGAGGCCCGGCGCCGGGTCCGAGAGACGCGCGCGGACCTCCGAGAGTCCATACGAAGGATTGCAAAAAAAACGAAGGACTGCAAAAGAAATCATTCGTTTTTGCAGTCCTTCGTTTTTGCATTCCTTCGGTTTTTTTTTCAATCCTTCGTTTTTGCAATCCTTCGTTTTTGTTGCAATCCTTCGGTTTTTTTGCAATCCTTCGGTTGTTTTGCAATCCTTCGTTTTTTTGCTATCCTCCCCTTCCTCCCCCCTTCGTGCGCTGGGCCAGGTCGGGCATGTCCCCCTGCAGGCGGATCTTGGGCGAAGAATTAAAAAGAGCCGGAACGTGTTCAAAAATGTTCGGAAGTGGTGAAAAGAATCGTCCCCGTACTAATTTTTGACCATTTTTGGATCTTCCTCCTAGAAGGACAGGCCGGACCGAAGGTTAGCGAATCGGCTGCACGCGGCTGGTCCTCCCAGCACCTCCAGGCGCCGGAGGCGCCCACGCATCCATCGAGGAGGCGAGCGCCCTGCGGAGGGGCCAGAATCAGCCGAAAGCAGCAGTCTCCGCACCCGCCGTCCCCCTCCTCTCCTCTCTCGTGCGCCGGGCGTCGCTTAAAGGACGCGTGCCTCGAGCAGTGGCAGGGAGGTTGGTACGGAAGGGCCAGCAGGTTGGCAGGCGCAGCATGGCTTCGCTGAGGGGGGGGGAAAGGTGGTACAGTCGGGGCCTTGACCTAAGGAACCCCAAATAAGGAACGGGGCCCCTTTTTTTTCCAGAAGTTCAACTTCGATTTCCGATCGAAAACATAAGGACAACCTAAGGCAAGCTGTGAAACCCTAAATGAGGAAACCTAAATAAAGGAACCCTAAATAAGGAACCCTAAATGAGGAACCCTAAGGAACCCTAAATAAGGAACCCTAGATAGGGGCGCTGACCTAAGAAACCCCAAATAGGGAACGGGGCCCCTTTTTTTCCAGAAGTTCAACTTCGATTTCCTATCGAAAACGTGAGGCAAACCTGAGGCACGCTTTGAAACGCTTAAGGAACGCGGAGCCCCTCCCCAACGAAAAGGGTTCCCTCTTCAGGGCCCCGACTGTATGATTCGATCTCCTGCACCGTGAAACGTTGTGTTCTTTCTGTCGATGGTTCATGGTCAGGGATTAGGGTTTAGAGTTTCGGGTTTCGGGTTTCGGATTTCGGGTTGGTTTAGGGTTTGGGGGTTTAGGGTCAACCAGGGCGCGAACATGTCAACATACTGGACGGGTCACACACTGGCGCGGCGCTTCCATCCCACCCACCCTAGAAACCCATTACATATCAAGACACACACTCTGGCGCATGCAAGCCATCAGGGAAGGCCGCGTGGAACAGCGAGGAGCAGGAAGGAGCAGAGCGGAGCACGCGGAAGGAACAGCAGGCAGGAGGAACCGCACAGGAGCGCGCGGCGGCCCTCGGGAAGAGCGCGCGACATCGTTTCGGAGGGTCTGGAGGGGGGGACTCCCGCGCCACAATTTGAATTGAGGATCGTGCGAGGTTGGGGATTCGCTTCGCACGGTGATGCGCGCCGCGCCACATTGCTAATGCATGAGATTGAGGGGGTTAGGGTTCACTCCCCCGGAGGCGGGACCTGGGGAGTACTCAGCCGCGCGGGTGGGATGCGCCCCGCGCCACATTCTTAATGGAGGATCCTGAGGGGCAAGGAATTCGCTCCCTTCGGCTGCGCGCGCGGGATGTGGCACGCGCAACAATTTGAATTGAGGATCGTACAAGTTTAGGCATTCGCTTCGCATGGCGACGTGCGCCGCGCCACATTTCTAATGGAGGATCGTGAGGAGTTCAGGGTTCGCTTCCCCAGAGTCGGGTTCCGAGGGGGACCTTTTCCTTTGGGATTTAGATTAGTATTGATAACGAGGGTTTGGGGCATAGGGCTAGTTTAGAGGGTTTCGGGTCTAGGGTTAGGGTTAGGGATCAGGGATCAGGGTTCAGGGTTTATGGTTTCGGGTGTTGTGTGTTGGGTTTAGGGTTTACGTTGCCTCCTGGCTGCGGCGGCCAAAAGAGGGCCGAGCCGAACCTGCGCGAGTCGGTCGTGCTCCCGAACCCCGAGTCGAGCCAGAACGGCACCTCTGCTGCCCCTGCTTCAGCGGCCAGCGAGGGGGGGAAATGGGAAGGAGAGGGCCTTGTCAAAGGCGGCGGGACTTCACAGAAGCCCTCGCGCCTCCTACGAGGTCTTCTGCGTGTTCGGGGAAGACCTAGAAAATTTCTCGGAAGGCGTGGGGGAACTTCTGAACCTTCTGAGAAGGCCTTCTCCTTCTCACTTCCCCCCCCCTCGCCCGCCGCCGATTCTGCCCATCCTGCCTCGTTCTTCGCCCTGCCTGCGTACCCTCTCGTGTGGAGCGGGCGGCGGGCCACACACGTTGTTCGCGTCGCAGTAGTAGTCCTCGCACTCGGACACCTTGAGGGTATAATCAAGGGGGGGGCAGCTCCTTCCTCCTCCTCCTCCTCCTCCTCCTCCTCCTCCTCCTCCTCCACCTCCTCCTCCTCCTCCTCCTCCTCCTCCTCCTCCTCCTCCTCCTCCTCCTCCTCCTCCTCCTCCTCCTCCTCGTCGTCGTCGTCGTCGTCGTCCGTCGTCGTCGTCGTCCGTCGTCGTCATCATCATCATCATCATCATCATCATCATCATCATCATCATCATCATCATCATCATCATCATCATCATCATCATCCTTCTCCTCCTCCTCATCAATCTCCTCATCCGCCTCCTCATCCTCCTCATTCTCCTCCTTCTCCCACGTCACCCTCTCGCTTTCATCTGTACTCTGCCAACCTGGACGCCCCCCAAAACCACGGGAAACCATCTTCACTCAGGGGGGGGGGTCGGCGGATGCGGCGCAAGCCTGCAGAATCAGGGGGGGGAGGGGGTGGGGGGCAGCTCAGGGGGAGAAGTTCCGACCTGGCCGACCAGCCATAACTGGGGGAGCCGTGGTCCATTCCCCCCCCTGTGGGGAACCCATCGCATCGACGATCTCTCGAGAGGGGGGTGTCGAAATCGGTGGGTCCCCCAGGGGGGTAAGGACCACAGCTCCCCCAGGTGTGGCTCCCTAGGGAACCGAAAAATTACATAAACATCAAAACTCGGAGGTCCGCGCGGATTTCCTGGATCCGCGCTGGACCCCCCTCCCTGGCGCGCGGAGCGCGCCAGGGGCGGCGCCGGAAGCGCCGCCAGGGGGGCCCAGTGCCGATCCGAGAAATCCGCGCGGACCTCCGAGTTTTTATGTTTATGTCACTCTTCGTTCCCCTGCCTGGAGCCAGGGGGCCCCAGCGCCGATCCGAGAAATCCGCGCGGACCTCCGAGTTTTTATGTTTGTGTCACTCTTCGTTCCCCTGCGTAAGGCTGCCTGGCAATCGGCCACACGCCGCCGAGCGATCGGCGGCAGGCCCCCCCGGGGGGGAGCGAGACCGCACGCGCCCGGGCCAGGGCGAGCCACCGGGACGCCCCCGGATCGGCGGCGCGTGGGCGGCGGGGCGGGCGGCGCACCCCACCAGAGCACCGTGCCCCCCCCCCTTAAAGGGCAAAAAATCCGCCCCTTATCCTTACGTCGGGCGTGTCCCCCATACAGGGGGATTTTAATACCCCAAAGATGTTCCAAAAGATGGTCAGAAATAATCAAAAAATAGTTTCCATACGATGTTTTGCCTATTTTTGAATATTCCCCCTGTAGAGGGACAGGCCCGACTTAACCCTATCACAACCACCCTGACAAGCCCGAGCCCGTGCCCCCTTTAGTAAGACGTGGTTTAGTGAAGACGACCTGAGGCCCAAACCTGGCGGGCGCAAGTCTGGAGAACAACGGCCACGGCGCCCTCTCGAGACCCGAAAACGGACCATTCACTAATCGACGTGTCACTGTTGGGGGTTCTGTCCACCCCCGACCCCCCCCCCTGGAGGGCAAAAAATCCGCCCCTATCCTTAAGTCGGGCGTGTCCCCCCTGCAGGGGGATTTTGGACGAAAAATCAAAACAAAACAAAAAACAACAACAACAAAAAATGTCAAAAGATAGTCAAAGATAGTCCAAAAATAGTCCCCGGACTATGTTTTGCCTATTTTTGAATATTCCCCCTGTAGAGGGAGAGGCCCGACTTAACCCTATCACAACCACCCCGACAAGCGAGGCCGTTTAGCAAACGCACCCAAAAAAGGAGTCGAACATAGAGGAAAGAGAACTATGCACATACACCGATTCTGGCCAGGCCCATCCTGAGCCCGGGATCGGTGCATACGCCCTCCTACCTTGGCCAGGAAGGTGTATGCACCGATCCTGGGTCAAGGACAGGCCTTGCCAGGACCGGTGCATGTGCATAGTCCCCTTCGCCCGAGTACAACCACCCCGACAAGCGAGGCCGTTTGGCAAACGCACCCAGAGAAGGAGCCGAACGGGGCAGGACTGCTCAGCGAACGCCCGGGGCCGGTTCATAAACGCCAGCTACTCCAGCTTTCGTAATAAAAGGGAGGGGGTCTCATTTCGGGGGGGGGTCTCTTCCAGGCTATCTTGGAGGGCCTGGGAGGGTCTGGGGACGATGTTTTGGAGGGTTCTCCCACGAGGGGGGGTCTGAAATGGCTTGTCTTGGAGGGTCCAGACCCCCTCCCTTTTATTACGAAATCTGGAGTATCGGGTCCGAGTGGTTCCTCTCCCCTTGACCCCTGCCGGAGCGGACGAGAAGGGGGGCAGCCAAGGCGGGGTCGGCGAAGCGGCCGCACGCCGCGGCGCCGGAGGCGCCCCCGCTTCAATCGAGGAGGCGAGCGCCCTGCGGAGGGGCCAGAACCAGCCGAAGGCAGCAGTCTTCGCAGCCCCCCTCCCCTTCCTTCCCCCCTTCGTGCGCTGGGCCAGGTCGGGCATGTCCCCCTGCAGGCGGATCTTGGACGAAGAATAAAAAAGAGCCAGAACTTGTTCAAAAATACTCGGAAGTGGTGAAAAGAATCGTCCCCGTACTAGTTTTTGACTATTTTTGGATCTTCCTCCTGTAGAGGGATAGGCCGGACCGAAGGTTAGCGAATCGGCTGCACGCGGCTGGTCCTCCCAGCACCTCCAGGCGCTGGAGGCGCCCACGCATCCATCGAGGAGGCGAGCGCCCTGCGGAGGGGCCAGAATCAGCCGAAAGCAGCAGTCTTCGCACCCCCCGTCCCCTTCCTCTCCCCTTTCGTACGCCGGGCGTCGCTGAGTGGACGCGTGCCTCGAGCAGTGGCAGGGAGGTTGGTGCGGAAGGGCCAGCAGGTCGGCAGGCGCAGCATGGTTTCGCCGAGGAGGGGGGAAAGGTGGTAGGCCACAAGTCGGGGAGGTTGCACAGGCACCGGATACTCCAGACTTCGTAATAAAAGGGAGGGGGTCTGGACCCTCCAAGACAAGCCATTTCAGACCTCCCCCGTGGGAGAACCCTCCAAAACATCGTCCCCAGACCCCCCGGGCCCTCCAAGATAGCCTGGAAGAGACCCCCCCCAAAATGAGAGCCCCCTCCCTTTATTACGAAAGCTGGAGTACCTCTGCGCTGGCCGGCGGCGGCATGCAGTGCGACAGGGAAGTGCGCGCGTGCGAGGTGAAGCTGGAGGCGCAGGCTGCGCGGAGCCTGCCGCCGGCCACGGCGGCCCTAGCCCCAGCGCGAGGGCGGCCGACGGCGGCGGCAATCCTTCTCCGTCCCCCGAGGATCCGAGAGTGGTCGAGGTCGTTGGCACGCCCTGGTAGGACAGTACAGTCGGGGCGTTGACCTTAAGGAGCCCTAAACAAGGAACGGGGCCCCTTTCTCCCATAAGTTGAACTTCGACTTCCCATGGAGAACCTCAGGAAAGCCGAAGGCAAAGTGTCGAACAAGCAGGGAACACCCAGCCCCTCCCCAACGAGAAGGGTGCCTTCTTCAGGGCCCCGGCTGTACGGTAAGAGGAGAAACAAAAAGAGAGCGAGAGGCCAGGTCTGGCGACGCGGCGGCTGAGACATGTGATGGGGGCCGGTTCGCGTGCTGCGGGCCGCGGCCACCAGTACCTTCGTCGCGGTGGCCAGCGGCGAATTTCCCCCCCGCCCCCCCGGCTTACCCCCATAGCTTCAACCGTCGCGCCCCACAAGAATGGTGAAGGTATAGGCTCAATGGGCGGGAAGAGGGCGGAACATGGCAGAAGAGGAAGGAGAAGTCAGCCAGTGGGGAGTGGGAGGTTAGGCGAGAACTCTCAGCGGCCTAACTGAAGGTCGTTGCTTCGTGTCGCTGCCTGCGAGGCCCCACGACAGCGGGAGTAAAGTGATACCCAGGAGGCGCGGGAGAGGACCCCGCATCAGCTGGCGGTGATCATGAGCACTGTCGGCGAGAATGTTGCGGCGGGTCCTGGAGCCCTGTGTCGCCACAAACCCACAAGCATACGTCAGATAACGTACGTCCGCAGGCAAATCACGTCGGCTATGTAGCATACGTGGGTGAGAAAGCCACGGCGGGTTTGGGAACCCTGTCTGACCGTGGACCCACTGCATAGCATAGCCTGTTGTAAGTGTACGCGCCGCGCCGTGAGTGCTGTGCCGACGCGGTCGCCGCGAGAGTGCTCGTGGAGGTGGGAGCTTGCTGTCACCAGAGACAAGATGAGGTAGGTGTAACAGGGGATGGGTGGTCAGTGCGAACCAACTAGTGCTGCTGCTGCCTGTCCAGTGAGTGCGGCTGCTTGGTAATAGGGCAGTGCCGAGAAATGGGCGTGTGAAAGTTCAGCTGGTCGCCAGTGGAGTCTGCTGTCGGTCTGCTGGTGGGCGACGCACCGACGGGCCGCCGCCTGGCCGCTCCCATCTTGAAGCGAGAGCCTCGTGCGCTGTGGGTGACCGGGGGGAGCTCCGGATTCACCAGGAGGTCGGCGATGCGGGCTGGTAGACCTGCGCGAAAGGCGGCCACGGGGTCCATGGTGGCGTCACTTCCGCTTGGCTGGCGGTGTCGCTGCTTTACCAGCTGTTGTGATGGCGTCAGGATTGGACCAGTGTGAGTGGTCTTGGATGCGTCGATGGCTTTCTTCGCAGAGTAGTCCAGGCTGTCGTACCCGAGGTATGCCTCGTCTTCGTCGTCGTCGTGGATTGCCTCCATGTCAACTACCACCGGTGGATACCTCGTGTCGTAGGTGTCGTCTGGATGCTGCCATTCGTGATCATGATGCGAGTTTGGGCTGGCTTTTGCTGCCTGGTCTCGGCCGAAATGACTTATCCTCGATCAGGCGTCAGATTCACTGGCTGGTGTCTCTGGTGTCGATGGCGAGGAGCAGATCCCTGCTGAGGGTGTCGGTGAGTCTCAGCCCTGTGGGATGGGCACTGTCGGTGCTAGGCCCGACCTGGTGGGCTCTGTAGGGCTATCATTATGTGCCATGGTGTTCGGTTCGCCTGGCGTGTGCTGATGGCCTGTGACGTCCTCCCCCCTCTGGTGGTTCACCCTCGTCGCATCCTTCTACTTCTCCTCCTCCTCCTGCTCCTCCTTTCCATCCCTCTCCTCCTCCTCCTCCTCCTCCTCCTCCTCCTCCTCCTCCTCCTCCTCCTCCTCCTCCTCCTCCTCCGACCTCCTCCTCCGAACTCCTCCCCCTCCTCCAAACTCCTCCTCCTCCTCCTTCCCCTACTCCACCTCCTACACTACCTCCCTCTCCTCCTCCTCCTCCTCCTCCTCCTCCTCCTCCTCCTCACCTCCTCCTCCTCCTCCTCCTCCGAACTCCGAACTCCGAACTCCGAACTCCGACTCCTCCTCCCCCCCCCCTCCAACTCCTCCTCCTCCTCCTCTTTCTCCTCCTCCTCCTCCGAAATCCTCCTCCTCCTCCTCCTCCTCCTCCTCCTCCTCCTCCTCCTCCTCCTCCTCCTCCTCCTCCTCCTCCTCCTACACTTCCTCCTCCTCCTCCTCCTCCTCCTCCTCCTCCTCCTCCTCCTCCTCCTCCTCCTCCTCCTGCTCCTCCACCTCCTCCTCCTCCTCCTCCTCCTCCTCCTCCTCATCCTCCTCCTCCTCCTCCTGCTCCTCCTCCTCCCCCCTCCTCCTCCTCCTCCTCCTCCTCCTCCTCCTCCTCCTCCTCCTCCTCCTCCTCCTCCTCCTACAACTTGATTTTCCCATCATGTTCCCCCTCCTCCGCACTCCTCCTTCTCCGCCTCCTCCTCCTTCTCCTCCTTCTCCTCCTCCTCGTCCTACTACTACTCCTCCTTCTCCTGCTCCTCGCTGTCCCGATCTCTAGAAAGAGGGGGTGCGTCCTTCTTATCCTCCTCCTCCTCCTCCTCCTCCTCATCCTCCTCCTCGCTGCGTCCCTCCTCGTTGTCGCTGTTGCCGCCGTCGAGAGAAGTTGTTGACGCAACGAAAGCGTACAACATAAACATCACACAGCAGATTGTATGCATGCACACACGCACGCACACACTGATGCACACACTCATGCACACACATAATGCTAGTTCAACTCATGTACACAATGTGTGCACGGAGGTGAAGTCAACCAGGCCACAAGCAGACGAACAAGCAAGCGATCACAAAGAACAAAAAACGCGCGGCTGGCTCCTGGTCGTTCTGGTGCAGCGACGTCAGGTACAGCGCCGCGTTGCAGCCGCAGCCAGCCTTCGGACAGCTCCCTTCGCCGCCATGGTCCCCTCTGCCTCCCTCCCCCTCCCTTCCCTCTCCCGCTTCCCCTCCTCCTCCTCCTCCTCCACCTCCTTCTTTTCTCCTCCCCATCCCCCTCCCACTCGATCGTCCCACCTCCCTCAACCATACTTCCCCTCCTCCCTCCCTCCCACTATCTCCCCGCCCTTTCTCGTCCTCCTCCTTCCTTCCTTCCTCCTTTCCTTCCTTCCTTCCCTCCTCCTCCTCCTCCTCCGATCTCCTCCTCCGATCTCCTCCTCTTCATCATCAAAATTCCTCCTACCTGATCCCCCTCACAAAAGCCCGATTCCTCCCCGCTCTCCCTGGTCCTGCTCCCCCTCCTCCTCGTCCTCCTCCCCCTCATCCTCCTCCTCTTCTGATCACTTTCAGCCATATGATTGTTCATCATCCACCTCCTCCTCCACCTCCTCATCCACCTTCTCCTCCTTCTCATCATCATCATCAGCAGCATCATCAATATCATCATCATCATCATTATCAACATCATCACCACCACCACCACCATCATCATCATCATCATCATCATCATCATCATCATCACCATCATCATCAGCATCGTCATCATCGTCGTAATCACCATCAGCAGCAGCATGTTCATATCACCACAACCACCATCATCATCTTCAGCAGCAGAATCAGCAGCACATCTTTCTACCTCGCCCCCCTCTCCTCCTCCACACCCCCTCCGCTGCCTCCGCACGCCCACTCCCCAGGGGCGGCGGCGGCGGGCGATGGCGTTGTCGAGAAGACGTGCTCAATACGCCTCTCACCCATGGAATAAGCAAAACCTGCACAACACACACACACACACATACACACACACACACACACGGGTCGGCGCTGGAGCCCCCTGCAGGGGCGCGCGAAGCGCGCCAAGGCAAACAGCTGCTATACGCCACTAGCTGGTGCCCAAGCCGCCCTGTAAGTCCAGCTATAAGTAGAGAAGTCTGGGGGAACGCGTTTCGTGGACGCCTGCCTGGAAGAAAAAAACCTTGACACGTTGGAAAGGGGGGAGGGGGGGCGGGGGGGGGCAAAAAACATTGAGCGCCCCTGGAGAACCAGGAAAGGCCCCCAGCCCCCCTGGACACCGGCCTCCCTGACGGGGAGGGGGTGGGGGGCCCTCCAAATGAAGGGTTAAGTCGGGCCTGCCCCTCTACAGGGAGAAGGACTATTTTTTGAATATTATTTGACCATTTTGGATGATGTTTGGGGTATTCTTTATTTTTCGTCCAAAATCCTCGTGTAGGGCGGACAGGTCCGACCGAAAGGGGAGGGATTCGAACAGCCCCCCCCCCCGCCACCGACGACGGCGAGCGCCATCGCAGGCGCTGGCGCCGTCGGGCAGCGACGACCACGACGACGACGACGAAGGTGGCGACGCCGACGACGAAGGTGGCGACGCCGACGACGACACTGGCGACGACGCCGACACCAAGGCCGCCGACAACGATGACGACGACGACGACGACGACGACGACGGCGACGGCGACGGCGACGGCGACGGCGACGGCGGCGGCGGCGGCGGTGGCAACGACGACGACGACGACGACAACGACGACGGTGACGATGCCGACGACGACGGTGACGACGGTGACGGCGCCGACGACGACGACGACGACGACGACGACGAGACGGTGACGGCGCCGCCGACAACGACACTGGCGACGACTACTACTACTACTGCTATTACGACGACGACGACGACGACGACGACGACGACGACGACGACGACGACGACGACGGCGACGGCGACGGCGACGGCGACGGCGACGGCGACGGCGACGGCGACGGCGACGGCGACGGCGACGGCGACGGCGACGGCGACGACGCCGGGTGCTCGCTTGCTCGCTCGCTCGTTCGCTAGCTGGAGCAAACATGCGAGCGATCGAGCGAGAGAAGGAGAGAGTCGGTCCTCTCGCTCGCTCGCTCGAGCAAGCGAGCGAGACAGTCGGGCGGGTCGGGTCAGGCGGGCGGGACATTCAATGTATGATGGTCGGATGCTCGTTCGCTAGCTGGCGCAAACATGCGAGCGACCGAGCGAGCCTGGCGGGGCGGGTTGGGTGGGCGGGACATTAGATGCAAGATGTTCGCTTGCTCGCTCGCTGAAGCAAGTGAGGGTCGATTCGAGTGGGCGAGGCATGAAATGAATGGTGCTCGCTTGCTCGCTCGCACGCTTGCTCGCTCGCTCACTCAAGCGAGCGAGCGAGCGAGGGGGGCGGGTCGGGTCGGGCGAGCGGGCGGGACATTCAGTGCATGGTGATCGTGTGCTCGTTCGCTCACTCGCTCGAGCAAACAAGCGAGCGAGCGAGCGAGGCACAAAATCGAACATCGTCGTCAGCATCACCGTCGTCGGCGTCGTCGCCGTCGTTGTCGGCGTCGCCGTTGCCGTTGCCGTCGCCATCGCCGTCAGCATTGTCGTCGTCGGCAGCGTCGCCGTTACCGTAGTCGCCGTCGTCGTCGGCGTCGTCGTCGCCGTCGCCGTCGTCCTCGTCGTCGTTGTCGTCATGATCGTGAACGTGGTCGTGGTCGTCGTCGTCGTCGTCGTGGTCGTCGTCTTCGTCGTGGTCGTCGGCGTCGTCGTCGTCTGCGTCACCTTCGTCACCTTCGTCGTCGTCCTAGTCGTTGTCGCCAGTGTCGTTGTCAGCGTCACCGTCACCGTCACGTCGTCGTCGTCGTCGTCGTCGGCGTCGTCGTCACCGTCGTCACCGTCGTCGTCGTCGTCGCCGTCGTCGTCGTCGTCGCTACCTGACGGCGCCGTCGCCGGTTGCAAGGATGGGAGCCTGGTTCGAACCCCCCACACCCCCTCGCCCCTGATTCGAACCTCCCTCCCCTGATTCGAACCTCCCCCCCCCCCTGATTCGAACCCCCCTCCCCCCTGATTCGAACCTCCCCCTGATTCGAACCCCCCCCCCCTGATTCGAACCTCCCTCCCTGCCCCCCCCCCCTGATTCGAACCCCCCTCCCTGCCCCCCTGCAACTCGGGAGAGGCCCCGCCCCCTCGGGTTCGAGCAGCCCCCACCCCCCCTTTTGCATCTCCAGGGAGAGGGGGGCCCCCTGGTTCGCCCCCCCCCCCCTCCCAGAATCCACAGAACGACGCGCTCTTTCAAAGTCCGGGCCTCGTGCCTGCCCGTAGGCTCGGACACGGAGCTCAACTCTATGAGATCCACAGCCACTGGCCGAGGCTCACCCAGCTGGATGTAGATATGCGATGCGCGCCACAGGGGCACCACCGCCGTGGGTCGAGTCATGACGGGCACATTGTGTCATCAGCTTCTGGCACAACTCTCTCTCTCTCTCTCTTTCTCTCTGCTCCTCAGCTTCAAACCTCCTCATCCTCCCCCTCTTCACTCCCCACTTCATCATCCTCATGCCTCGTGATATTTCTCCTTCTCCTCCTCCTCCCCCTCCTCCTCCTTCTCCTCCTCCTCCTCCGTCAACCCTGTCCCCGCGGCTGGGCCCCGGCGAGGTCGACGGTGTATCGAAAAGTCTTGCCGAGCAGATTGAGCGCCAAGTAGTCCTCGTTGCTGAAGCTGCCGTCGACGCACCTGGTTCCGAAGTAGGTGCGTCCTCTACGAGAGGAGATGGGAGCAGCAGCAGCAGCAGCAGGAAGAGAAGCAAGAGGAGGAGGAGGAGGAGGAGGAGGAGGAGGAGGAGGAGGAGGAGGAGGAGGAGAAAGAAGATGAGCACGAGGAGAGAGAACAAGGAAGAAGCAGCAAGAGGAGGAAAGAGGAAGAGGACGCGGAGGAGGAGGAGGAGGAGGAGGAGGAGGAGGAGGAGGAGCAGTGTTTGGCACTGGTCTCCGCGGGCGTGCCGAGAAAGTGAGCATGCCCCGGGGCAATGCCACACCACGTGGGACACGACAGCCAAAAAGAGGAGGAGGAGGAGGAGGAGGAGGAGGAGGAGGAGGAACTTTGAATTGGCTCTCTAGGGGCGGCAAGAAACAACAACCTCAAGGAGGAGAAGACGAGGAGGAGGAGGAGGAGGAGGACGATGACGACGAGGAGGAGGAGCAAGAGGAAGAGGAGGAGGAGGCGGAGGAGGAGGAAGGAAACGACACCGGCGACGATCGGGCACGACAACGGGCTCGCTGGGCTCCGCGGCAGGACCCGCAGGGACCCCCTGCAGGGCGTGGGAGGCTTCCGTGGGCTCGGGGCCCCAAAGCTCTTCACGGGGCAGGGCCGCAGCGCCCTCGACGTGGTGTGGCGCCGGAGTGTGTCAGCCGAGTGCGCCACGGGCTTGCAGATGCACTATTGCACCAAGGGCTCCCCAGTTCGCGCTTCGCGCTGCGCGCAGCGCGAGGTGCGAATCACTTCGCGCTCTCGCGCCGCCTCCCAGGGGAGAAGAGGAGGATGAGGAATCGGAGCCGAACCGCGAAGTGCGAAGCGCGAATAACTTCGCGCCCTCGAGGGCGCCCTTGTGCACCCGCCTCTGGGACCTCGCCTCGCCTCGCCTTCCGCCGTGTCGGCCACGAACGACCAGCGGGCCGGAGGGCGGCGCTGCCATTACGGGACCAATGGCAGCGCAAGGAGGGGCAAGGAAAGCAAAGGAAGACACCCGAAAGCAACAGACCCAGAACCTGAAAACACAGCCCCGGCTGCGAGGGACCACGGGGGCGGCGGCCACTTGGGAGAACTCGGCAGCCCGGCAGCCTGGCTCCTCAGGGACCTCATGCAGGTCTACGAACATACCAGCCATGAGAAGATTTGGGAGCAGAGTGTTTTAGTTGGTTTCCCCGTGCACATCCTGGTTAACACACTCTCTACCTCCTCCTCCTCCTCCTCCTCCTCCTCCTCCTCCTCCTCCTCCCCTCCTCCTCCTCCTCCTCCTCCCTCCTTCGCGTGCTCCTCCTCCTCCTCTCCGCCTCCTCCTCCTCCTCCTCGAGCTCCTCCTCCTCCTCCTCCTCCTCCTTCTTCTTATTATTCTTCTTCTTCTTCTTCTTATTATTATTATTATTATTCTTCTTTTTCTTCTTCTTATTCTTCTTCTTCTTCTTCTTCTTCTTATTCTTCTTCTTCTTATTCTTCTTCTTCGTCTTCTTCTTCTTCTTCTTCTTATTATTATTATTATTATTATCATTATTCTTATTATTCTTCTTCTTCTTCTTATTATTATTCTTCTTCTTCTTAGTATTATTATTCTTATTTGTCTTATTATTCGTCTTATTTTTATTATTCTTATTCTTCTTCTTATTATTATTATTCTTCTTAGTTTTCTTATTATTATTCTTAGTATTATTATTATTATTATTATTATTATTATTCTTATTATTCGTCTTATTATTATTATTCTTATTATTATTCTTATTCTTCTTCTTATTATTATTATTATGATTCTTCTTCGTATTCTTATTAGTATTCTTCTTAGTATGATTCTTCTTATTCTTATTCTTATTATTATTATTCGTATTATTATTATTCTTCTTCGTCTTATTTGTCTTAATATTATTATTGTTATTATTCTTCTTCTTATTATTCTTCTTCTTATTAGTATTATTATTCTTCTTATTATTATTATTCGTATTCTTCTTATTATTAGTATTCGTCTTCTTAGTATTCTTATTATTCTTATTCGTATTATTATTATTCTTATTCGTCTTCTTATTCTGTTTATTATGCTTATTGTTCTTCTTATTATTATTATTATTCTGCTTCTGCTTCTGCTTATGATTCTTAATTATTCGTCTTATTCGTATTATTATTCTTTATTATTATTCTTCTTATTTACTATTATTAGTATTATTATTCTTAGTTTCTTATTATTATTCGTATTATTCTCTTATTCTTGTTCTTCTGCTTCGTCCGTCGTCTTCTGCGTCTTCTTCTTCTTATTATTATTAGTATTCTTATTCGTATTACTTCGTTTTTTCGGTTGTTTCTTCTTCTTCGTATTATTATTATTCGTCTTATTATTCTTCGTATTATTATTCTTCTTCGTCTGCTTATTCGTCTTATTAGTCTTCTTCTTAGTCTTATTATTAGTCTTCTTATTATTAGTATTCTTATTTTTCTTATTATTATTCTTCTTTTTTGTCTTATTCGTCTTCTTCTTCTTCTTCTTGTTCTTATTATTCTTCTTATTATTCGTCTTCTTCTTCTTATTCTTATTATTCTTCTTCTTCTTCCTCCTCCTCCTCCTCCTCCTCCTCCTCCTCCTCCTCCTCCTCCTCCTCCTCCTCCCCCCTCCCTCCTCCTCCTCTCCTCCTCCTCCTCCTCCTCCTCCCTCCTCCTCCTCCTGCCTCCGCCTCCTCCTCCTCCTCCTCCTCCTCCTCCTCCTCCTCCTCCTCCTCCTCCTCCTCCTCATCCCTGCTCATGCTCCTGCTCCTGCTCCTCCTGCTCCTGCTCCTCCTCCTCCTCAAGGTGGAAGAGGGCTCTGTTGATGGACGGGGCCTTCGCGGCTCCATTTTGGCCCTCAAGGGGTATAGTCGAGGGCAGCACGTCGGCCACCTACGAGGCCAAGTCTGTCTTGTTGCCCACCACTGTGAACCACATGGGTCACCAGAGTACCAGCCAGGGCATCCACGTTGACGATCTGTCGATCCACTCCTGGGCCACGACCTCAAGCAATGTGGCAGGCAAAAGAGCTAGCCTCCAGTCTCGCCGTTGTGATCACGGAAAGTTCGTCTGCCCCTTTTATCAGAGAAAAAATGATGGCCTCAGCCAACACAACCCTTCTCCTCAAGCCTGTCCTTGCAGAAGTGGGATCACTTGGTGGGCGTGACTCTTGGGCCCCATCTAACATTGGTATCTCTTCGACGTTTGGCAAGCACCAGGGCCCACCTGTCGCTCGAACTGTCCGCAAAGGAAGCTTCGTCTCAGGCTTGCCAAACTCCACGGTCTTGAGATCTCGACGGCCACGAAGTTAAGATCGTTTAGAGCTGGCATCATTCCCAGCCTTTCTTTTGGCATGGAGGTCCAAGGCATCACACCGAGCGAGTTGCTGGCCCTTCGGCGTGCAGCGGCTCGGGCAGGTGGTGTGAGCAAGAAAGAATACAATATCGATTTGATGAGGGCCCTGAGCCCAGCAGGCGACCCTATTCGTGTGGCTGCAGGGGCTCTAAAGAGGCATGCGTGCGAATGGTGGCACGTCTCGCAGCCGCATCGTCATGACCCTGATCGTCATGTGGACGAGCCTCTGTGCTGGTATGCTCAGCAGGGCAAGGCTTGGCTTGTGCGCACGCGAGGCCCTCTGTCGTCCATGTTGCTATGGCTTACTGAGGCAGGCTGGTCAAGGGAGGGTCCAGCCAAGCTCGTGAGCGCATCTGGTAGGAAATGGATACTCACTGAGACGCCACCGCAGCTCATCGCTGATCGCTTCACTGAAAATCTGGCTGGCAAAGAAGTATCTTGGCGAGTACATTCACAACAATCTCTCCAGTGTGGGGGGGGGAGGGGGGGGCAATCCGCAGCTTGTTGAACGAGATTGTGGCGTCATGCTATCGCGAGGGTTGTGAAATCGCGAGGGTTGCGAAAACATGTTTTCCAGCAGTGAGCATTTATGTCGGCAAGTGCTGTCTGTTCTCTGACGACTGGGGAAGCTTTAGCTAGTTGGGGATACCGCGTCGACACATAGTGCTCTCCATGCAAAGCAGCTCCAGCCACTCACTGGCATCGTATCTACGCATGTGCTGCACAGGAGGCTGAAGATAGGCGTGCTAAGCACTTTGGCCCTGAATTTCCGGAACAGGTACGGCGAGCTTGGCCAGGCTGTCTTTTGTTCTCGAGATTGTAACCCACCATGCCCGAGGTGTTGCAGCCAGTGCCCGGTGCCAGACTGGCTACTCAAATTCGCTGCCCCTGACGGGCAGGAGGTTGTGCCATTCTTCTTTGAGGCGCCTGATGAACTTGTCTCTCATGGTTCGTGCTTCCAAGGTGATCGGTTCGAACTTTCCCGCGCTGGCTTCGGTGTTGTTTCTATGACTGGCTCTGGAGTGGCTGTGCGAGGTGTGTGTATACATATATATATATATATATAAATATGGTCCGCTGCCGAGTGATTCATGTCTCCCAGAGCAGTACTGATGCTGAGCATTGTGGCTTGGCCATTTCCGTTCTGCGTAGGGAGCCTCCCTCCGACGGCACCCCCACTGAGACTGTTAGGGTTGACTACTCTGGGTTCCCTGTTGGAGCCAAGCAGCCCGTGAGGGCTCTCTCGGGGAGGACGCGTTTCAGTTTCCTGGCGTGAAACACATAGGAGAATTGGTGGTGGGCCCTGGCCAGGTCAGTCGAGGTTAAGGCCCACAGAGCCTTCAGTGAGGCCACCGACGATGTTGACTATATGAACATAGCTGGCTCCACCAAGACTGATGAGCTAATTAAGGTAAGCGCAGGGCTTCACAATGTGTCACCTGTCGAGCTCCAACAGTTTGAACAAGCCGAGGCCGAGTATCAGAGCTTGGTCACTGGTGCGTTGCATCTTCTTCAGGCTCGGCCTACTTGTGAAGAGCAGTTTGGTAAAATGGCTAGGCCCCCAAAACCCAAAGTAGTGAAGACCCCAGGCCCATGCCACCGCCCCGTCTTTCACCTGGGGTTTTTTCGGTGCCTGCAGTGTCTTCGGGAGGTCTCTGATCGTA